CAACTGCAATGAGTCACTTAACAACTATGGCAAGAAAGGTAATAAATGAGCCAAAATTCACTTAGCAACTGTTTTGCTTGGCAACAGAAATTTTGGGCTTAGTAGTGGTCATAAGTTGAGGACTACCTTTAAAAAGTGGGATAAAAATAAAAAAATATATTAGTTTAGGTGGAATGGAAAAACTAGTAAAGGTGACAAAATCTTCTATTCCAGGGCTTTTCAACCTTTTCACCCATTGTACCAGATAAGCAGTAAGATGGAAAGAAAATTAAGCAATGAAACTGAGAGTTCCTGGATTAGAATTTATTACACCATCACATTAAAAATAAAAGTATTTCCAATCTTGTGGGAAAAACAGTGGATTCACTCCTACTGATAATATTATTTAGATCAGGGCTTTTCAACCTTTTCACCAATTGTACCACTTTTAGAATATGGCAACATCCGAGTACCACCAGTCACCTAGCAAGGTGTCAAAAACTTGATGACCAAAAAAAAAAGGGGGAAAAGTGATAAGTACAGGTAGGCCTCGACTTATAACAGTTCACTTAGTGACTGTTCAAAGTTACAATGGCACTGAAAAAAGTGTCCCCCAAGCCACAGCTGAGCAAGATACCTGCATGCCCACCCAGTGGTGCTCTTCCTCTTGTCCGAGGTTTTCACTGTTGTGAGCATTTCTGTTGAGAATTAGCAGCGGGGGGGGGGTGAGGGGTGTTTGGTTTTTATTCGGTTTTTATTCCCCCCATCTTCTGGGTGGTTCCAGCAGGTTTTGGTCATTTCACATGACCCTGGAACATTGTGACCATCATAAATATGAATCAGTTGCCAAGCATCTGAATGTAAATCACGACCCTGGAGATGCTGCAACATTCCAGCTGATCAGCACTTCTTCTGGGCTCAGCAGAAGCACCAGGATTAGCACCGAGCTCCAGCTGGATCCTCGTGCTTCCACTGATAGTCCCGAAGCACTGATCAGCTGGAAAGTGGCACTGATCTGGTGCTTCCGCTGAGCCCTGACAGCCTTGCAGCTCCAGCCAGCCATCTCTCGCTCAGGCTTGTGTGGTGCTGCCACCGGTTCAGCTCATTCCCCTCCCCCGCTACCACTTTTCTAGGATGGTCGCGTACCACCTGCCAGGTGCCAATTTATCACAGGTGGTACCCGTATCACTGGTTGAAAAGCCCTGTTCTACACAACTTGCTAATTGTAGGTAAGCAATGCTGATATTACCATCTTAGGAATCAGCGAACTAAAATGGACAGGAATGGGTGAATTTAACTCAGATAACCATCAGGTATACTACTGTGGGCAAGAATCCCTCAGAAGAAATGGAGTAGCCTTCATAGTCAATAAAAGAATAGGAAAAGCAATACTGGGATACAATCCCCAAAATGACAGAATGATCTCAATTTGAATCCAAGGCAAACCATTCAATATCACAGTAGTCCAAATCTATGCCCCAACCACTGGTGCTGAAGAGGATGAAATTGACCGGTTCTATGAAGCCCTACAGCACCTTATAGAATTAACACCAAAAAATGATGTCCTTATCATCATGGGGGATTGGAATGCTAAGGTAGGAAGCCAAAAGATAACCAGAATAACAGGCAAGTTTGGCCTTGGAGTACAAAATGAAGCAGGGCACAGGCTAATAGAATTTTGTCAAGAGAATACGATGATCATAACAAACACTCTTTTCCAACAACCCAAGAGACGGCTCTACACATGGACATCACCAGACGGTCAACATAGAAATCAGATTGACTATGTGCTCTGCAGCCAAAGATGGAGAAGCTCTATACAGTCAGTAAAAACAAGACCAGGAGCTGACTGTGGCTCAGATCATAAGCTTCTCGTTGCAAAATTTAGGCTTAAATTGAAAAAAGTAGGGAAAAGCACTAGGCCACTCAGGTATGAACTAAATCATATTCCTGATGAATATACAGTAGAGGTGACAAATAGATTTAAGGAATTAGATCTGATAGACAGAGTGCCTGAAGAACTATGGATGGAAGTTCGCAACATTGTACAAGAGGTAGCAACTAAAACCATCCCAAAGAAAAAGAAATGCAAGAAAGCAAAATGGCTGTCTGAGGAAGCTTTGCAAATATCTGAGGAAAGAAGGGAAGCGAAAGGCAAAGGAGAAAGAGAAAGATACACCCAATTGAATGCAGAATTCCAGAAAATAGCTAGAAGAGATAAGAATGCCTTCTTAAATAAACAGTGCAAAGAAATAGAAGAAAACAACAGAATAGGGAGGACCAGCGATCTCTTCAAGAAAATTGGAGATATGAAGGGAACGTTTCATGCAAAGATGGGCATGATAAAGGACCAAAATGGCAGAGACCTAACAGAGGCAGAAGAGATTAAGAAGAGATGGCAAAACTACACAGAAGAGCTATACAAGAATGAGCTTAACATCCCAGATAACCACAATGAGATGGTCACTGACCTCGAACCAGACATCCTAGAATGTGAAGTGAAATGGGCCTTAGAAAATCTGAGCAACAACAAAGCTAGTGGAGGTGACAGTATTCCAGATGAGCTATTCAAAATCTTAAAAGACGATGCCGTAAAAGTGCTACACTCAATTTGCCAGCAAATTTGGAAAACTCAACAGTGGCCACAGGATTGGAAAAGGTCAGTTTACATTCCAATTCCAAAGAAAGGCAATACCAAAGAATGTTCAAACTATCACACCATTGCACTCATTTCACATGTTAGTAAAGTTATGCTTAAAATCCTACAAGCTAGACTCCAGCAGTATGTGGATTGAGAACTACCAGAAGTACAGGCAGGATTTCGAAGAGGCAGAGGAACTAGAGATCAAATTGCCAACATACGGATGGATCATGGAGAAAGCTAGGGAATTCTAGAAAAACATCTACTTCTGCTTCATTGACTATGCTAAAGCCTTTGATTGTGTGGATCACAACAAATTGTGGCAAGTTCTTAAAGAAATGGGAGTACCAGACCATCTTATTTGTCTCTTGAGAAACCTATATGCGGGTCAAGAAGCAACAGTGAGAACTGGACACGGAACCACTGATGGTTTCAAAATTGGAAAAGGAGTCCGGCAAGGCTGTCTACTGTCGCCCTGCCTATTTAACTTATATGCAGAGCACATCATGAGAAAGGCAGGGCTAGATAAATCAAAAGTTGGAATTAAGATTGCCGGGAGAAATATCAACAACCTAAGATATGCAGATGATACCACTGTAATGGCAGAAAGTGAAGAAGAACTAAGAAGCCTCTTGATGCGGGTGAAGACGGAGAGTGCAAAAGTTGGCTTGAAACTCAACATTAAGAAAACCAAAATCATGGCATCCGGCCCTCTCAATTCCTGGCAAAGAGATGGGGAAGAAATGGAGGTAGTGACAGATTTTATTTTTCTGGGCTCCAAGATCATCTCAGATGGGAACTGCAGCCAAGAAATTAAAAGACGCTTGCTCCTGGGGAGGAAAGCTATGGCAAATCTAGACAGCATACTAAAAAGCATAGACATCACCCTGCCAACAAAAGTGCATATAGTCCAGGCCATGGTTTTCCCAATTGCAATGTATGGCTGTGAAAGTTGGACCATAAGAAAGGCTGAGCGCCAAAGAATTGAGGCCTTTGAACTACGGTGCTGGAGAAAACTCCTGCGAGTCCCTTGGACTGCAAGGTGTTCAAACCGGTCAGTCCTAGAAGAGATCAACCCCGACTGCTCTTTAGAAGGCCAGATCCTGAAGTTGAAACTCAAATACTTTGGTTGAAGCAGTAGGTGTGAACTTAAATGGACTCCAGAAGATGGTAGAGGACAGGAAGACCTGGAGGAACGTTGTCCATGGGGTCGCGATGGGTCGGACACGACTTCGCAATTAACAACAACAACAACAGTGCTTAGCAAAGCCAGTTTGGTATAGGAACCATATATTCTAGTTCCTGTTTGGGCATAAAGACATCTGTATGGCCTATGGCCAATTACTTTCAATTCTAGGAAGGAGGCAATGACAAACCACTTATGAAAAACCTGGCTATGAAAACTGAAGGTACTAACCATGCAGTCTTCAAGAATTTTACATGACTGAATGTAAGAAAAAAAGTTTCAATATTTGTTTATTTATTTATTATTTAGCCAGTCAGTCAGTCACCTGAAAGGGCCTGAATGGACAATGCCACCCTTAGCTCACCCCAATCCTTGCCCAGAAGCAGCCAGTAAATGTGCTTTCCTACAATACTTCCAAAGTAATGTTTTCTGATTTCTCCGCTGTTCTTCAATCTGAAGTAGGCAATGTGTGCATGCCTATTGGTTGTTGGATAGAATTGTGGCCATTCCTGCTTTTTATAATAAACAGATTCACTGATTAACCTTTTCTGTTTTCTTTTAAATATACTCACTGATGGATAGAAATGAAATCATTCTTCTGAATGTGGTCAGCACAAGAGAAAGATAAATTTGAACTATGAATGACCTGTAAATATTTATTCCAATTGCTTGATACATTGTTGTTGTACCTGTAATGGTTATGGTTATTTGCCTATCTCACATAGTAATTTGTCATTAACACATAGGAATGCCCAGTTCTTTATATGTAACCTGTCAGCGCTTTAACTGTCCCCCACTAACGTGAATTTAGATGCCACCTGATTTTAAATCTGTCCATTTTCTCTCAGACACATCTCATAGGCTTTGAATTGAAACTTTTACATGGCTTGCTTTTTATTAAATTTTAAATAGATCATTCCCATTTGAGCATTGTTCCACAAAACAGCACATTTTACAGAAATGTAAATGAGCAGCTTATAAAGGTGCTGCTGCTTCAAAGATTGTTCTTGCCTGACTGTAACAATTCATACTCAGAACAGCATGTAATTTCAAAGGGCAATAAGCATAATTAAAAAAAATTAATAATTTCAGTCTATTAAAAAGGCTGAAATTGAAACTGAAGCAAGAAAGCAAGGCACAGATTAAGAGTCATTTAAGGAAATTAAGGCAAGTAATAGAAGAAAAAATTCTTACCATTTATCAATCCAAGACCCAAGATGCCATGTACCAATCTACTCCCTCTCCGGAAGTGATCTGTCATGTGCTCAAGCCAATTGGCTTCTAAGGCACAAATGCTTTTTCCATTGTTGATGATTCTTACAGGTACAGTTACAGTATAGTATTGGCTGGATGTCTGCAAGGTCTTTGGCTGGTTGAAGAGTGCCAAGATCTCAGTTTCTGTACAAAAATATAAGAGTAGAAATAGTAATTGTAGGACTAGCAAATATGATGCATTATCTTTTTCCAGATGTGCTAGGATCTAAAGTCCTGGGGCATGACTGCTACACAACTAGAGAACATCGTCGGAAAACTGTATTATATTATAGGAAATATAATAAATAACAAATTTAACAAGCACAACTTGAGTTTTCTCATATGAATTGAAAGTTTTGGATAATTAATACAAACAGAATTATTTAATAATTACTATACATAATGATCTGCATAATGTAGTTAATATAAATATGTAGCATTGATTTTTATGTAGTTAACATACTTGGATTAAAATATTGGTCTGATGATCAAATCTTGCCACCTATAGCTGCATAAATAAAATAAAATAGGAAACTACTTTATATGTCAAAAGCAGTAAAAATAATTGATATATTAGAACATAAGTTGCCAAACTGTCTTGGTGCACATTGCCTCTGATATCTCAAAAATATTTTCACAATACCCCTAACTGTACCTGTGAACTAATTTGAATGATAGTTTGAGCAATAGCTGACAAGAGGTCAAATCTAGCTCTATTTCACTTGAAAATTTAAAATATTTTGCAACACCAGGATAGAGAGAGCAATATACACATTTTGGTAATCATAAAATTTGGGGAACCCTACTAAAAATTGTGGTTGTTTATCACATCAAAAATATGAATAAATAATAAACATTTAATATAAAGTTAAAATACAATATAAAACTTTGAATATTAAACACTACCTCCACACATAGTCCTATTTTAGAGTAACAAATGATGCCTTAGCTTAGGGCACATTTCTTAACATTCAGAAATCTTTGCAATGAAAGATACTTCTGCTATGATAGTAATAATTCTGGTTGCTATTTTATTTTGATTTCATGACCTCCTAGTGCTATACAGAATTATTATCCAGAAAAGGCAAGCAAAGTTACTTCCTTTAATTCCAGGAATTTCCATTCTTGACAAGAACACACCTCCACCCAATCAGAACACACCTCCACTCAATCAGAAAACAGCCAAACTCCCATCCAATCAGTTCATACCCCCACTAGCAGTTAAAAGGAAGAAACAGCTACGATCACACATTGCTCCTAGAAGCAAGAAGCCAAAAACACCAGCCTGAAGATGACGAATGGGACTTCGTCGAAACGTCACCAAGACACTTCCAATTTGACACGGGAGAAAACCCGAATAACCAAAGACCTACATACAAACACCCGCGAAAACCTCAGAAAACAAATAAAGTGGTGTTTTATATATTGCCTGAATAATATGTTTAAATTAGCAGATATAGCATAAATAATGTTTTTTGTTTTTCATAATTAAAAAAATGAGCAACATTTTGGGGCTTCTTCTTCCTCTGGGAAAACTCCTGCACATTTTCCCCCTTGTCATTAGTGATTATGACAATGGTCACCACTAAGTTAAATCTTTTTTTTTCTTTTCCACTTGACCCATTTTTAATACTCTGATTGTTCTTTCAAACTGCAGAATACAGACAATATTTGAGCCCCACTTTAAGTATAAAAAAAATATTCAGAAGTTCTTACCAGCTATACTTTTTAATGGAATATTGTACAGGGGAAAGGAACATACAGGGTAAGGTCATATACCATGGCAGCCTTTCTCCAAATTAGCCCCTCCAGATATGATGGCATTTACTATGAAAAATATCTAGCTATGGTAGAAGACATCTCACTGGGGAAGGCTGTTCTGTCAGCCTCCTCACTGTCCTCATACTTGAGAAAATTTCTAAAAGATACTGTTTTTATTGTTTTTAATCATAAAGGGACCTTGCTTACTTAGAACAGGGTTTTTTCTTCTAACCTTTTCTTCAAAACTTTGATAAACTAGGCAAGAATAATAGCACTCTGTTTCTCTATGTACAGTTACAGCTATATTTGTGTCAGTAGAACATTTAAAGTGGACTGCTCTCTGTCTAGTTTGCATCTCTGTGTTTCTGTTGCATAACCACAAGAATCATCATAATTTTTTTCTGGTATATTCTTTTCTAATACAGCTACTGTAATATTACTAAACCATTTGGCATTATTTATCTTACTTATAATTGCTTATTTTACTGAGTTGCCCTTTCCTTTAAACAAGAATAGGCAACTATTCTGAGCAGATGGGCACTTTAGAATTTTGACAGTGTAATTTGAATCTTCTCACATTTTACTATGAGAATCGGGTGCTTGTCTGTTCATAAAATAGCTACAGTTGTGGGCAAAATGCCTATATATCAGTATGGAAATTGTTCTTGTTAACGCCAGAAGGCACCCAAACTACTACAGTTACCTTTGTTTCCTGGACAGGTGAGTATACTTTCAAACGAAGTACTGAAGCTGGTGTACATCAGTATGATTATCAAACATCAATAGTTTTATTAAATGTTTATTATGTTTATTAAATGTTTGTTTAACTCTTCAGTTTAAGTCTGTAAAGCTGTGTATCTATTGTTCTGACAATAATGCAAAATTAGTAAAAGGTATTATATGACAATATTCTGATTTAATTAGATCTCTTTGGAACCTAATACAAGGTTTAAACAGCAGTTCTAAATACAGAGAGTAATTTAGAAGTGTGGCCTGATATTGGCAATTTTCAACAACAACAAAAACAATTCCTAGAAGGGGAAAGATAATGCTTATCTGATGATTTAAGGAGATTGTAAGAAGAGTCCGTCAAATCCTCAAAAGGGATTCTAGAATGCATGCTTTCTAGAATAGCAGATTCTATGCCATGTACAGATGTTTCTATTTTTATGCAATACTATATATGATATTAATTATAATCATTTTGCAAGACATAATGTAGACACACACACGTAGAGAGAAAAAGAGACAGCTTTCCTATTCAGAAGTCTTACAGAGAGAGAGAGAGAGAGAGGGAATTTGTAAGAGCTCTAACGAGGATAAAAGTAAACATGACAATTACAGGGAACCTGTTTTAAATTTTTGACACAAGAATATTACTAATTTACTACTGTCTTTCAAGTAATTATGCTACCATGCCAAACAAGGCTGAATAAAAAGGGAGTCTAAATATTTACTTTATGATGAAAAGTAAAACTTTATTAATCTGCATAATTGCAAATATTATTATCTACAAATTATCATTATTCAACACTTGAGCTAGTCTAATGTCATTGTGACTCCATATACACTGCAGTTTTCAAAATTTGTTTCCTTTATTTAGAAGACGTAGACATCTCTGATATGTGCACCATCTTCAGTCAAGAAGTAGTAAATTGAAATAAATCTGAATCTGGCAGAAATTGGCAAGGAGAAAACTGAAGTAACACACATACAAAAATAAATGGTAGAAAATCTAACCCTTTTAATCTGTCTTTCATCTTATGTATGCTAATTATTTCCATCCGGTTACATGTCAGATTCTACTCAATCTTAACCAATCCCCCTAAATAAGTCTACCAAGTGCAGTAGCTTTCTTAGCTTTCTCCAAATGAACCTCAGTGCTTCTTCTGCTCTTTTCTTGTGTTGATCTCCTATTACTTTATTTTTTATTCCAATCAATTTTAGCTTCTTTCAGAATGCTCCTTCCCAAAGATGTGTGAGCATTTTCCATCATTAGGTAGAGTGATGGCAGTGAATTTCATTGACATTACACCCTCTGCTGATGAATAATAAACCTGGAATTTTTAAAAAGCTGCATTATCACAAAAGCACCAAATAATAATAAAACTGAAAAAAATGGATTTAACACTACCTACTTTTGGAGTTTGGACCATAGTACTGGTTAATTCCCACGGGAGCCCTTAAGCCCTGATTATAGTTTTTCTTTCTTCATTCTTTTTTCTTTTTCTGATTATTTTTGCAGCCTTTCAATGCCACAGGTATGGCTATGTAGTAGTGATGTCATCAGAAAAATGATATAGAATTCCAAACTGACATTTCGAAAGTTAATAAAATACCCAGATTAAGCCCAATAGTATCTATATTTGCTATATACAAAGCTTTTTTTTTTTTAACAAAATGAAGAACTACACTAGTTCAATAGCTTGAATCACAAAATAAGAATCTAAATGTGTTCCTCAATCTTAGTTTCATGCTGGAAGAATTTGCTTTAGCATTAATTTAGCGTTATTAATTCTCCTCCAAAGAAATAAGTATTTTGATTTGTTTGTGACATTTCAAGGTCACAGTCTGCCTTGAGTTCTTGTTCCTGTGCCAGTAACTTGCTTTTATGACCCGCAAATTGCTTTTATATAAAACAGATATTTTTGTTACATACTAAATTTTCTGATTGGCCACTACCCTATTGCAGACATTTTGTGAGCAAGCATATACACTTCATAGAAGCCGTTTTATGATCCTATTCATGGCACAGAATAATGCATCCAGTGGCCCATAAAGGCTGGAAATCCCTAGCCTAGCTGATATAACCCATGTTTCCTGAAGGCTTATCCATAAAAATAGATACCAATACTTTAACTGATGAGAAGGCAACAAAAGCCATGCTTTAGATGTGATATTCTGCATAACTGAAACTTATAAAGTTTTTTTTTTTGAGAATAATGCAGTAACATACATACTGTGAAATGTCCTTCCCCTATAAACTAGCAGCAAATCACATAAGTTTATTCTGCTATAGGGAGGAACTCTAGAAGAGAAAATAAAATTGGATATACTAATTAGCCCTTCAAAGTAAGTCAGATTAGGAAACAGGAACAAAATTCAATAAATGCTACTTTACTGTTGTAACTTGTAATAGCAGAATACTAAAAATCTATCAGTTTCTTTCTGACTCTTCTTACACTAAAAAAAAAAAATCAAAACAGGATGATTTTGAATTGTTTTCTCATATATTCCACCTTCCAGAAGTGCTTTGTAATTATTACTGCTCTAACATGCGATCCAGTCCTTCTCCAACATTTCTGTGTTTCTTTGAGCAGAAAAAAGGATATTGCTGGAAAGATAAGGAAGATGGAAGAAACACCAAAAAAAAAAAAAAAACACCATTTTATCTAAGAGCTGCTTCCTTTTATAGTTATCCTTCTTTTGTCTGGGATTAATAACAACCTTGGATAGGGCACAGAAACAAGTCAAAATTCCAAGTTAAAACTAAACAGCAATCACAGAAAAAGCAAGTATTTGTAAACCATTTTCAAGCTATAGTCAAATTTGATTTTCCTGACATTGTAGTAAGTAAGGATTTATACTCAAGAGATCGTATTGGAGCAGAGTTTAATGGGTGATATTGGGCCAGCCAGTCTTTCTCCATTCAACCTCTTCAGATAATTATTGTGGGAACAAAATTAGGGGAGAATCTCATATATACTACACTGTCTTAAGAAAGAAAAAGACAGAAATAACTGCAATAATATTGCAATATATATCACTAAACATCTCTCTTAGTAAGGGAATCTAATACATAAATTCAAAAAATAACTATCTTAAACAAATGTTAGCTTATTTGTGTGCAAAACAGATCAGTAATTGTATATTTCTTAATGTTCTGTTTGTACCAAAGTACATTTATGCTTATTACACATTATATAGAAAATAATATCATCATTAGTACAAAATGAATGGCAAAATGTATTTTTCATTCCTTCAAAATATTACATTTATGAAACAGCAAGTCAAGACCTTAACCCCAACCTACTTTCAATAGTCTTAAGGAAGAATCTGCATACTCACCATGAAGCTGCCCTCCAAGTTCTTCAGGAGAGCTCAAGCTAAAATGCTCAGTGACCGCCTGTTCACCTCCTAGATCTTCACTAGGGTTCACCTGCTGGTTACTACCTTCTTCTTCTCCTGCTGGGACTTTGCATACATCAATGTCATTTCCTTTTTCAAGATTTAATGAAGCACAATCTTCAGGAATATCTAATGGATTCTTGTCATCTTTTAATTCTCCGGAGCTGTTGCTGATAGATATTACAGCACTACTACACTTGGAGTTCATTTGGGAAACATGCTGAGGTACTATCCCAACAAATTTCAAGCCCCGACTTGCAGCATCTTGAATCTATAAAATCAGGAGATAATATTTTAATTTATAAAATGTCCTTGAGAAATATGAGTGCTTCAAAGAAGTGCAGAAACTAGAAACTAAAGTTATTTTATGGTTGGATTTTTCTCTAGTGCATAAAATGTCCCATTAGACTGGTATACTACAATCCAAGAAGACTATTAGGATTTTTTTTTCTTTAAAAATAAAAAAATCCCTAATATAGAGAAAAATTCTTAGATTTTTAGGTACTTTGCCATCATCAGGCATTGAATTCATAATATGTTATATTAGGTAAATAGTCTCCAAAATATAAAAGTTTATATGGTTCTTTCTTATATTAGAATGAACATTTTTCTTAAACTCCAAGACTGCACTGTTTCAATTTTGTATTGGTTTATAAATTATTTAATTTTTAATAGAAAATCAGAAGACACTGAGAGAAAATGTTAGCACTGTTGAAAATATTACAGCAGCACTGAAGGCAGAACTGCAAACCATAGCTATGCAGAAAACAACTTTAAAGAACTCAGAAAACAGATGTGATTGTATGGCATTATATAAATAGTATATAGGGAAGTTACGTACAGGATGTGGGAGAGCTAGGTGAAAAGACAAATCTGTGAGTGAAAACAAAGAACAGCAGTATTCCTTCAGCAACAATACCTATTTTATAAAATATCATAAAAAATTACACTTCATAAAACTCCATTTAATGAAAATTTACTAACTGAGAAATTTATATATATATACTACCATTCTTTTTTATTCTTCTGAATGAATGAATTCAATGTTTACCCTCATACTTCCCAGTAACTGAGTCTAGGTTTAGTTTGCCCTGTGTAATGTTGATTGCAATTTGGGCAGCTGACTTAATATATCATGCAGTTTTTTTTTTAAATTAAATAAATAAATTAACTAGTAAATAAAGTCATTGGATGATCAAATAACTTTAGTAACTCTGTTAGGTGTGAATTTGATAAAAATGATTTCTCAAGAGTCAGGGGCTTTGTTCTGTATTACTAATCTCAATATATTCAATAATAAAATAATAAATAAATAAATAAAATATATTTTACTAAATGAGAAAAATTATCTCTAAATATTGCCAGCAAAAGAGAAAAAAATCTTACTATTATAAACATCTGAAATTATTTATATTTCTTTCAACTAAAATTGCTGACTAGAAGCAGGTTTCTTAATTATCAATGTATTTTACAGGAACAGCATCATAGTGGCACTTATCTATTTTTGCACGGATACAGAAATAACATCATAGCAACAGGTAGAAAAATGAAAAGCTTGAAAAAGAAAAAAAAAGAAATGGCAGTTAAAATTGCAAATGCAGTTCAATTTATATGCAAGTATAAAATAGTAATATAGGCTGGGGAAAAATTGAACAATAATCTAACAGATTACTGAGGTCTCTAATATCAGAGACCAGATTCGGGAAAAAGATTTCGGTGTATGGTGTGTACTAGAATAAAAATGCTGACTCATTGTGTAGCATAATTGAAAAACGATGAGAAATTTCATCTGGAAATCATTTTGAAAGGTACTGAAATACATTTATAAAATGTGTGGGTTTGGCTACAATTGGATAATTATAAGAAAGAGATCTGATTATCATAAGAGCTTGTAAAGATAGAGAATAAAGCAAGAAATGCGTTTAGATGATAATAGAATAGAATAGAATAGAATAGAATAGAATAGAATAGAATAGAATAGAATAGAACTCCATGTTCAGGCAGGAAACCCTCTACCATTTCGGACAAATGGTTGTCCCATCTCTTCTTTAAAACTTCCAATGTTGGAGCATTCACAGCTTCCAGAGGCAGGTTGTTCCACTGGTTAATTGTTCTAACTGTCAGGACATTTCTTCTTAGTTCTAGGTTGCTTCTCTCCTTGATTAGTTTCCATCCGTTGCTTCTTTTCCTGCCTTCAGGAAATAGCTTGACTCCCTCTTCTTTGTGGCAAAACCCTTCCTTTTAATGGTGAAAATAGTATATTGTAGGTGGACACATAAGCTCTTACTATCCATTCACTGTCTTCTATTCCAATGCACATTCCCTTGTTTGAGACAGAGAACAAGCTTGATGTAGTGGTTCAGGAACCAGGTTACAAACTAGGAGACAATGAGTTCTAATCCTATCTTGGGCCCAGTGCCATGTAAGTTATCTTGGCCCAGTCACTCTTTCTCAGTCCTAGGAAGCAGGCAATGGAAAACCACTTTCAAAATCTTGCCAGGACTGGTCCAGGAATGAACACTGACTCAAAAGCACACGCGAACACATCTCAGAGATAAAATCTACATCTTCATAAGGGACAGATACATCCAACAGCTCACAAAGGCCAAAGGTTTTCTATTATTTTTTGTAGTTTCAAAATACAAATAGAAACTGGGATGCAGAAATATAACATCTTTCCACAGACTCATATAACGCATAATGTATTGTTTAATTCAAATTGTTCACTTCATTTTTATTGGTTAATTAGAAGCTACCCAGTGTCAGTTTTGTGGCCATATTAATTAATCAATCAATAAATGTAGAATTTCCAGGAATGATGCTGTATGTTAACAAATTGGCATAGAGGCAAAATCTGTTCCAAGACTAGGCTATTCTCTAGAGGAAAAAGAAAAGTCTAGCTAAGAATTGTCCTTAATTTCTTTTTCTGTGTATTTCAATCTAATTTACGTCCTTGGTGGTTTTTATTTTTATACAAGCCCAGCCATTTGCTCATTTTATGTAACTTCAGTCTGTTTATATCAGAGTTTATAAAGATATCAAACCAGCATCATCTCTTTATCAGAGTCTTACTTTTCTATCGGTTTTTCTATCAGTTTTTTGCTTATTTGCTATTAATGTGATATCGCTTGTGACTATCTAAAGTCAAAGGGTATGTTAAATTCTCTTTTGATCTTCCTTCTCTTCTTCTTTTTCTCCTCTTCCTTCTCCTTCAATATCACCATCATGAAATCCACTCTTCACTTTGATGAGAAGCTGAACCAAAGAAGAATGGTATTCACTTTTGGCATATTTTCCAGGCTGGAAAAAATGCAAAATTGTGTTGTTTTATGTGTCAGTTAGCATGTCAGATATGGCAGTGATTATTCCCACATTCTTTTGCAATTCTAAGGGATAAATATAACAGCATGAGATAGAAAGCTAAACTTCAAACAAAAGCAATGTAAATACGTTTTCTTTTTGTAACATGGAATCAGTGTAGAGAAGATGTACTATCTTCTTCCAAATACCTTGTTTCTTCTGCCTCTAATGTAAATAAATTTTGAATATTAGACATATTTATAATGCGCACACATTGATTCAAATATTTTCAGTGAGTACAAAAAGCAACTTAGTGTAATGAAGGAATGCTATAAATGAAGGAATATTTCCCAAAGCTATAGAAAATGCATAAATTTTGGCCACCGAAAATTTACAGAATTTTTTGGGAAAGCTTACTATTTCCCTTCCTTTTCTGCTTTACTAAAGTTGAACTATTTTGTTTTCTTATTTATGGTTAACCAGAGAGTCGATTGCATCTTTGAACACAAAACAAACTAGATTGTGGCATATTTTGGTCAACCACCACTCTTCCCAGCACTAAGTAATCATTGAGCAACAGGCATAAGTATTAGTGTGTTTTCCAAAAATATTCTTTAAAAAATATTACCATAGACTCAGCCTGGTACAGAAGAGAGAATAGACAAAATCTATGTACTTTGATCTAACATAATTCAAACTGCCAGCTCAGCAAAATGCTAGTATTAAATTTTTCAGCCTGAATTCCTTATTTGTATAATAAGAATAAAGCACTGACTCACATCATTACCTTCTTATGGAAAAATAATCAGGTCTCTAATATCCTATCTGTAAAAAAGAATAACAATGACCAACCAGTTTGCAATAAAAATGTAAGACAACAATATTTCTATTATGGATATGCTTGATTTCTGTTCTTTTTTTAAAAAGCAAGCAAATATCAGCCGTGCTGTTTTAAAACAGTATTAATATAGTAATGGGGGTAAACATATTACTTCGGATTTAAGGATAAAAATATCCGCAGTAGATAATTTGAATGATATATCAAACTTAATGAAACAGAAATCAGAAGGAGTTTTAGAAAAAGAGACTATGGTCTCACTCTTTTGGGGGACTATGGGAATGGTTTCAGAAAAAGTTAATTGAACGCAGATGGATATCTGAGTCTTCATATCTTGCTGCGCTGTGAAATCTGATGGATATTTAGCCTAATAAGATATAGATATAGCAAGTAATGGTCTTACAAATAATAATGTTGAGTCTATCATTCCAAGAGATAATTAACAGATGAGTTAATGTATTGTGCTACGCAAATATGTAGTTTCATATTAGCTTAATGTATTGGACAGATACCGCTAATTTATGGCCTAATTGATTGCATACATTTGCCAAATATTGTTTACTTAGTTTTTCACTTATTTATAAATTTATTTGCTGTCTATCTTGCCATGGGGTTACTTTAGGCAGTTTTCAATAATAAAAAGATGAAAGGAGTGTAAACAGAAGTAAAATAACAGAACAATAAAATAAACAATGACAAAGGTACACAGCAAGAATAATGCATCAATATGATAACCAAAAAGATGGATTGGTGAAGAACAGAGAGCTGGGGGGAAGGAGTCGAGTGGTTAGAGTCCGCCATCCATATAGCAGTCACCTCCAGTATTTGGTATAATTTAATAAACCAAAATTAAACAACAAACTATTCAGGCCAATATGCAAACTAGGCTAATCTACTAATTTCTGAGATCTCCAAATATATCATGTATTGTACAGTATAAACTTACCTTGAACAAAATCCTAGTCTTTTAGATACACTAAAAACTAAAGGATGTTTTTTTTTCAACTAGAAAGGTAAACCTTGTAGGGTAGGCAAGGCGGGTTGTATGACGTGTGTTATACACTGGTTAAGCACTAGTTAAATGTATTTCACACTAATATTACTTTATTATTGTTTGGTCTTTAACATCATCA